TTGAGTGTTGAGCAATTCCACCAAGATTTTAACAATTATGTGCTAGTGTATCTATTTTTAGATAAGAAAAAATATAAATAGAGAGTGGATAGGAAGAGAAGAAACATATGAAATGATGAAAGAGAAAAGAAGAAAAGAGCACAAAAGAGAACAAGTTTAAAGGAAGGAAAGCCTGGAATAGTTATATAACTACCATGACCCAAATCTGTTTTCAACTTAACTAGAATTAACTCATGGTAATTTGTCCATACACAAAGCAAAGTCGTGAATACACTATCATGCATGACAATCATAGAAAAGAGAGAAGTGCATATTGCATCATAGCAAAGTGCGTCTCATAGCAAAGTGCGTCTGATTGGGCTTGCCTTTCATGATAACCTAGTTAAGATGAAAGGGTTTTGCTATGATGCAATATGTACTTTTTTTTTGTTGTATCATGTGTTGTGCTTTTCATGGTCTTTTCATCAATAAAATTTTCTTTTGCTAATCAAAAAATAAAAAATAAAATGGATAACCGTCATAACGCTAATCACACTTTTCAAGCAAGATAACAATAAACACTGAAGATATAATTTCTATTAAATGTTTGAGGACATGCTATCTTCAAAAAACATAGAAAACCACCATATGATATATTAAAAATCATTAAAAAAAAATTATTTATTCATCATGGTGAACATATAATTTCTGAAAACAGTGATGTTCAGAAACTTGTTTTGTAACTTAGCCTTCCAAATCAAAGAAATTGGAGATTTATGATCATAGCACCCAATAAATCAAGTTGATTTTAGTTGTTCCATAATATGTACATAGTTCACTTATGCAAGAATAAATATACGCTTACCATCACTTAATAAATAACTTTTCATGGAGAGTCTCAAGCTACCATCTCAGATTATTTCAATTTTAGAATAACAAATTAGAAGCTATATTTAAAGATAACTCTAAATTGACTTTGTACTCTTATTGAGAACAATGTATCTGGGGTAGTCAACATTTGGCTTGTAACCTATTACCTACCCAACTTTGTCTATTTCTAATTGCTATTAGTGAAAATGAAATGATGCCAAAGGCAAAATAAAAAAATTACAAAAGATGTATTTATCATATTTCGAATTGGGTTCATCCTTATATTCATTGTATTGGGTATCATGCAATACAAGAGTGATATACAAGACTGATCTAGTGTGAAGCAATCTCAAACTCTTGAGTGTAAGAGTGATATTTTGTGAAGGTTGTGAGTTTTCCTAAGATGTACTTGAGTTTACTATCTTCCATTGTACAAATGCTTTTGTATGAAGTAAAATTTACACATTTTATGAAATTTGTTATGTTCTTGAAGTGATTATGTATTCCTTACCAACTAAAAAAATTGTTTATTAGCAATTTAAAGAACGGAAGTTATATCATACTTACATGTTGGATTTCAACTCATATTCTTTAGTACGAAATTAATCCATTCAACTCGCACTTCATCAAGTTTGGTTTCTGTGTAAGTCTTTTTTCCATTGAACTACAAGAGGTTATTTAGAAACAATTAGATCATGAAGAAGATGTACAATTATCATGAATATAATAGTAATAAAAGTTTAGAATTTATCTCACATTTTGTTTTCTTAGGATGCTTTAATCTCTAATGAGGTCTTTCATATACCTCATTACATAAAACCCACATTCCATATTTGTAGGTTATTGCAGGGACTACATGAAAGCATTTTCATTATTATTAGAAACTACATATAAAGTGTTATGATCAAGCTGAACAACCATTAGCATAAATATAAGTATGATAAAATTAGAGAAAATGATATTGATTACCTGAATTACTTTCCAAACCGGATTAGTCCTCCTCCTCCTTTGGTAGTTTCATAAATTTTCAAAGCGCTTTATGAAAGAAATTCCAAAAGTCAAAATATTTTTAGGCTAACTCAAATTGCTTAAAAATGTACGAACCAGCCAAACTTACGTGTTTATTACAATTTCAAGGCTTGTGTTTATTTTAGAATTAATTGGATCAAGCTAGTACACAATCATCAATGTTAGATCAATGACTAACAATATCCAATGGTACCTACAATTGAACAAGTCACAAGTATGAGCTTAATAAGTTTATTATCATTTGAACACATGAAATAAATAGTTTTAGATAATTACCCAATATTATAAGGAATTAAAATCAATTGCTCTAGCATAGCCTCCTCTAATCTTCTTGTAAGCAACACTGATTTTGATTTCTCCCCATCCATAGTTTTTCCACTAACGATACAAGGGTTAACAAATAAAAATTGTTTCCTCCAATTGGAAACCTTCAACACTTGATGGAGATGACTAATAAAAGAAACAAGTGTTAATTAAATTCGTAATTCATAAAATCTGCAGAAATAGCTATTGATGTAGCAAATTTTCCTTACCTTATGTACAACATGATACATGTAACAGATAATTCTTTTACATGACATATGTACTCCATGTCTACTTTTTGAAGTTGGATATTGATCTCCACCCCAAATATGTCTTTCTCTAGTGGAATGTCTATGGCTTCATTATACTTGATACGCTCGACTAATGAAACAAAAGATTGAATGGACTCTTGATATTTTCCACATTCAACATTAATTGAAGCTCCCTAAGTTTAAAATTTTCAAAATAAACAAATATAAGTCAACTTTAATTTTAAGAAAGTGTACTAAAGTTTCTAAGTTTGAATATTTTACCTCATCACCGACCAATACAAGATTTTTGGGCCAAGCAACAAAAAATCCCACTGCTTCTCCAACAATAAGCATCTCATCTGGGATAGGTATAGGAAGAGGGGCATCTTTTTGAATAACAACTTCAATAGACACACGTACATTGGATTCTCTTAATGGCACCATATGAATGGCTTCATTGGGTTCAATTCTCTCATACACCGTGCCATGTGCAACAATATTTTCAATGGAACCTACTGCGAGTTTACACGGTTTGCCCTATAACACACAAAGTTAACAATGGAACTTCTAAGAATATAGAAATTATAACATCAATATATAAAAACTACACACCTTTCTCTTATTTTGTTTAGGATCTTGAGGTGGAATGTTGTCCTTACTTCTCACTCTTTTTTCTTGGTAAGATAGAATCATCTTGAAAATTTCCTCTACCACCACTTTTCAACGTGTTTGAACATTTTCCCTATAACAAACACGCAGATAACAACAAAAACACTAATAAAATCACTATCAGTATTAGAAAATATAACAACTTTAGGTGTTCTAAATGCTACATACCTTTATAATCTTTTGGGTAAGAGCTTGGGGTGGAATGTTATCCTTAGTTCTCACTCTGTTTTCTATTGAGAGAAAATCACGCTGAAAATTTCCTTTATAACCACTTCACAAGGCATTTGAACTAACATGTTCAGATTCTGGTGTATGTGGTATTTTTTGTTCCACTGCACTAAGCCTAGCTTGTAATTGTACCACCACTGCCTCAAGATCATTACATTTCTTCTCCCAATGTGACTGATTCCCACATCTAAGCAAGTGAAAGTAGGTGCTACGTGTGACAGAATTTCCTACACCCCTTACTTGACTAGAAGATTCAGGAGTACCCAATGCCATAGTAAGAATGTCATTGCATCATTCAGTCTTTAAACTCCCATAACTTTTTTGTTTGGTCAACTCATCCTACAATATTACATTACTATATAAGAAAGATGAACAGTTGAGGTAGTATAAATAAATGCAATCAGTACACACAAATATCTTACAATTCTCGCAGCTTGTTCCATAATTGTCTTGTCATCATATTCTCCATTTTTATTTTGACAAGCCTTTTTCCATAGAATGCTTCTGTCCAAATCTTCAGTAGATTCGGTCATACGTTTCTATCAATCAAACATATATCAAATTTTCAAAATAATCATATCAAAATTGTTATTAAATTATAAAATTTATAACCACTTACATAGTCTTCTTGAAAGCAAGCATAGCCCTTTTGACTGATTCTATGGTTATACTTATTTTGACTTCGTCTCTATTTCTGAACCTGGCTCAAAATCTTTAAAAAGGTAACACACAATGTTAATCCAAATGTATAGCATTTAATATTTTTTTTGGGTGAATAAGTCATAAAATAAAACAGAAAATTTACAAGATTACAAGGGGCATGCCACTGTTATTACATAACTATACCAAGTTTGATGGGTCTAGCATTTAATGCTGACATTTTAAATAACTAAAGTTTGATTATTTTTACCTCAAACTCTTCTGATAGTCGCCTTTCAAGAAATGAGTCCCAATGTCTTTGTTCAACGAATCCACAAATTGCTGGTGGGTTTGATATGATCTCAGGATTGGACTTGTTTTCACGTATGTACTTGGTAAGTTCTTTCTTGAATGTCCTCCATTTTGAACAAATTGAAGATAACACTTTTTTCTTACTTCTTTCATCCACTTTGTATGTTAACTGAGTAGTGAAAAAAATATAATGTTATAAAATTCAAATTTTGATTGCACTTAAATACAAGTTTAAATGTCTTACGTACCTCCACATAATTCCATAATTTTTCTTTCAGTTCACCTGGCACCTCAAACCAGTCTTTATAGCATATTGGAACCATTGTGTGAGCCTACACCCCATGATAGCTTGAACATTTAATTGAATTGTTTCCAATCAATTGACCATTCTCGTTATAGTCAATGGCTTTTCGTACACCAGAACTCCTATCCTTTATGACACCTGGTAATGTTGTCGAACCTTTGCCTTTTCTTTTATTAGATTTTGGTTCTGTTGCTGGTAACCATGCATCCTCTCCATCAGTAGGCAGGACATGAGAAGTATCCATCCTGTGAATAAAATAAAAAGAAATTTAAGAAAAAAGGTTAAATAGTTAGACAATTAAATATAAAAACATGAAGAAAATGAATATATATAAGTCAAACATTTTAACATGAAAGTACAACACTTAGACATACATTCTTACAAAGACATTTTTTTTTCTATCATGGATTATTGAGTCAAGTTCCCTCACAATCTCCTCGCACGTAAGACGACAAAGAATCATCAACCATATCTAATGATTCAACTTCTGGCAAAACTTTTGTAAAGCCATGATGCTCTATACAAAAATCATTGAACTCATCATCCTTTTCACAAGAATATTGTTTTTGAGGAGGTTCTAGCACAACTGACCATCTCGGATCAAGTTGATCTTGTACATAAAAAACTTGCTTAGCTTGGGAAGCCAAAATGAAAGGATCGTCTTCATGGCCTATCCTCCCTAACTCAACTAATGTGAAACCTAACTCATTCACTCTAATTCCCTTTGTGTTGTCAACCCAATCACACTTAAATACCGAAATCTTGAACATATTGTAGTCAAGTTGCCATATCTCAGTAATAACTCCATAATAACTCATATCCGTAAACATTGGGTTCTTATCCTTATAATCTGTCACTTGCATTGTTGTTGCCACTAAACTAACTCCACTGTTTTGGCTGACTCGTGAGTTATCCCGATCTTTTGTGTGATAACGACAACCATTGATGATATAGCCAGGGAATTTTATAACATCCAATCGAGGTCCTTGTGCTATCCACTTCAGGTTATTTGAGATATTATTTTGACCACTTAATTCCTTTGAGACCTGTATATGGTTGAATAGTTAGCTAATTTTTTTCTTAATAATTTTCAGTATTAGAAAAAGATAAATGTTGAATTACCTCAATACCTTTTCACGAAGCCAATACATAAATGTTTTAATATGCTCAATTTGTAGCCATTTTTGACTTTGTGATTGACGACGATATTTTAGCTTCAACCAAGCCATATGCTCCCTATCAAATCATGAAGAAAGCAATATATTATGAGATAAATCTCTAACTTGTGAGAATACAATTGTAAAAAAATGTACATGAAATATTCTTACTCAATGTATGGTTGAATGTCACTTGTATTTTCTAACACATAATGATGCGCTTGCTCCCATTCATTACGATCAACAGTAACAACATAACCACTTGATAAAGGCCTTCCAATTTCTACATCATCATCAACTGTCATGTTCCTATTAGAAGGAATCCCGATTGCATCCACTCCAGATAAGTACTCTGCGCAAAACTTAACAGTTTCTTCTACAATATAACTTTCAACAATGCAACCTTCAGGACAATTACGATTACGAACATAACCCTTTAAAATCTTTATGAACCTCTCAAATTGGTACATCCATCTAAAGTGAACTGGTCCACAAAGTCGAACTTCTCTAACAAGATGCACTGTCAAATGCACCATGACATCAAAGAACGAAGGTGGGAAGTACTTTTCAAGCAAACATAATGTGACCACAAGATCTTTTTGAATCTCATCTAATTTTCCCACATCCACCACTTTGCTACAAATAGCATTGAAAAAGAAACATAACCTGATAATAGCATGTCACACATGCTTAGGTAACACAGATCGTATTGCCACAGGTAGTAATTATTGCATCAATACATGACAATCATGTAATTTTAGACCATAAAGTTTCAAATCTTGCATTGATACACGACTTCCCAGATTTGAAGAGTATCCTTCTGGAACCTTCAATTCCAATAATGTTGTACATACTCTTTTTTTCTCCTCCTTAGACAATGTGTAACATGCTGGAGGCAAGTATGTTCACTTCTCCCCAATTTGTGGTGCCAATTCTTCACGCAAACCCATTTCTACAAGATCAAGGCGAAAATTAATTCCATCCTTTGTTTTTCCTAGAATATTGAGTAACGTACCAATGAGGCTCTCACACACATTCTTCTCAATATGCATGACATCCAAATTATGTCTAACATATAAGTACTTCTAATATTCAAGATCAAAGAATAATGATTTCTTCTTCCAACATTTTGTATCACCAACATCTAATGCTTTTTTATTTTTCTTTTCCCATATGATTACAAGCCCTTCAACCTTATTAATATCTCCTCTCCAGTTAATGATATTGGAGCTAATCCAAACTCTTGCTCACCATTAAAAGCCTTTTTTTGCCTCCGATATGGATGGTAGCGTGGAAGAAATTTTCTGCGGCCAGCATATGTGTTCTTCTTACCATATTTTAATCTGTAAGAACACGTTCCTTCACTACAAATTGGACATGCATAATATCCCTTTACAATACAACCACTCAAATTGCCTAATGCTGGAAAGTCGTTAATTGTCCACAACAATATAGCCTTCAGCCTGAAGTGTTCTTCTTTATAAGCGTCATAAGCTTCAACACCTACAGCCCACAACATTTTCAAATCATCAATTAGTGGTGCCAAGTAAACATCAATGTCATTACCAGGTTGTTGTGGACCTGATATTAACAATGATAACATCATAAATTTCATTTTCATACATAACCATGGTGGAAGATCGGTGATTTCAAGTAAATCTTGCTTTGTAGACCATATTACCATGGGGACGGCAGAATTTCAAGTAAATCTTGCTTTGTAGACCATATCTTTGAGAAGATCCTCTAGCTTGTAGTTGGTTTTTTTGACAATTTTATTATTTTTTTTGTTGTTTTTTTTTTCTATGGTTTTTATGGTTATTTGGGGTCTTATTTTGTAAATTATTGTTTTTAGTGTAAATTTTTTTCATGCTCTCAAAAAAAAAAAAATCTAATTTTTTTTATAAAAAATTATATATTGATAAAAATCTTTTTTTTTTCCTCTAAATTTTGATGGAAAAATTACTCATAAATCCCATTTTGATAAATGTTGCTCTAGTTAGTCTTGAGTGTTTTTTCTTAAACCGTTTAGTCTTTTTTATTTTTGGTATGATATATGTTTTTGATATATCGCGTATGGAGTTTACATTTTTGCCCATATTGTGATTTCATTTTGATTTTGTCATGGTGTGTGTGTTTAAGGGATGTTGTAACATTATTATTTTGTAAGAGGGGATTTCGTGGACTCTTCTGGAAGTAGTTTCACCATTCCCAGTTTGGTGTTTGGTTTATAATGTTATATTTTGGGATGTGTTGCTGATCGATTTTTGGGTTGGCTGTTTGAGTGGTGTTAATTGATTCTTCCAGGTTTTATGTGATTGATGTGCTGTGCGGATTTATTTAAGTTAGTTTTTATCTCAGTTTTATGTTTATGTTTATGTTTGTGATGGGTTTACTGATGCTGGGTTGTTGTTTTACAATGGACTATTGTGTTTATGATGGGTGTTGTGATTCTAGGTTGTCTTGGATGCTTTTATTTTTTTCTCGTAAAGTGGGTTTATGGGTTTTGTAAACTGGGTTTAAGGGTTTTGTGTTGGGGTTTAGGATTTTGATTTGGCATTTGCGTTTTTCTTATTGATATGTATGTCGTATCGCTTAGTCGTGATAGTGATCCAATTTTCAACATATGAGGATGGAGTAAGAATCTAAGCCATTTGTTGGGGTTTGTATTCTTATGAGGTGTTTATTTACGTTTTTGTGTGTCATGTGCGATGCTTCCATGGGATTTCAACATTGTGCTGGGAGATGGCGTTGTAACCATGTGATGGGTAGGCGACGTTCAACTGCTTAAGTTAACATATACTAACCACACATGGTCGTACGTTCTTAAATAGGATTAAGGGTCACTGTTGTGACTCAATTTGAAATGTATTATGAGCTTATTTTTATGATTCGAACCGTTGTTTTGTAGGGTTTGTTGATTACTTTGTGCTTACCAAAAATCATATTAATGGGATATCAATAACTATATGATCGATAATTAAAAAAAAAAAATAATAAGTTTTTCTTTTGCGAAATAGCATAAACAATATTCAATTTGATCATATAATTATTGATATCCGATTAATATGATTTTTAATAGGCACGAAGTACTTAATAAACCCTACAAAATAACAGTTCGGATCATAAAAATAAGCTCATAATACACTTCAAATTGAAGCATAACAGTCGCTACTTAATCCTCTTAAATATGTGTGTAATGTTTTTTTTTTGGTGTTTTTTGTTTGGCAGGCATGGAGTTTGGGAATTAACATCAACATCGAAACGTTGGATCCACAACCTAGAAATTAGCTTCCATAGTCATCCAAACAGGAGGGACAACATTGACACACTGCAATTTAATGTTGGACACTTTGGTAAATTTAACACCAAGGAAAACCTATATTTACTCTCAATTGATGACACCTAGTGCATTAATACCATGGACTTTAAGGTTTTAACATTTGAATCAGACTTACCAGTCTTTCAAAAAACCCACAAGACTAAATGGTTTAACATTCCTAAAATTAGGATTTTATGGTGCTTTACCTAATTTTGATTGTATCTGGTGTAAATTCAAACTTGCCCCCAAACACAATCAAAACTTACTTCTAAATTTTTTTTCACTAAATTTGTGAATTTGTGCCTCATTTACTGAAGACTTCCATGGAAAGAAGGGAGGACCACTTATTTATGACATTTTATACCTGCAATTGTCTGCAAACAAAGTTATCAAGCACACCATAGATTGATGACAAACAATTAGTTTGTCAACTTTGAGTAAATTACAAATCAACCGAATTGTTTATCAACAATTTAAGTTCCACTTGTTTAAAATTTATTTGAACCTGATTCGTTTATTAAGTAAATAAAATTAATTTTAATTTCTAAATTCATTTATTAATTATGTTGAGCTCGAATAGCTCTAAACTGGACTCGATAAAATTTGCCAACATAAAAAATTTAATATTTATTTTTAATAATATATCAAAATAATTTTTCATTAATTTATTTTACTTTTCTATTTATATTTGGTATTTATATAAATTTACATGTTTGATTGATGAAATTTATTATTAATATAATGCATTCTTATATATTTTACTCATATTTTATATATTTTTTTATCGTAATAAGTAAATTAAAATTTTTTTTTCAAGCTTTAAGTTAGCTCATTTATATAATTGAATTGGCTCGAACCGAACTCAAATTTCACAAATACCTAACGAGCTGAGTTTCTCAAATCCTTCATGTGCACGATGTAAGTCCTCACTGTATCAGAATTACACTACAAAAAATTCGTTTCTAGTACAATAATTTTTTATTACTTTACTAATTTGATATTTCCAAAAAAAAGAAAAGTCTGCTAGTCTAATTTTTTGAGCAAGTAATTGTGTAATGAAAACTAATTTATATAACATGAAATTTATGTGAGATGCATATAAAATGTCATGGGTTTGTAATATTAATCCAAAAAATAAGAGCGACCTACTTATTCAGTTATTCATCATGTGCCATGTCTCAAGTGTTTGGTGTGAGTCAGGTCCATGACCTACTGTACGCAACGAAAAGTGTCTAGAAGCACCCACGTGGCACGCTATGCTTTAGAGTTTGGTAAAGACGACAAAACTGAATAAAACTGTAATCATCAATCCACTAAACTAATCATAATTGGATTTGGTTGACTCTGTTTGGAATTAATTTTGGATGTAGGGGATGTTTGGAAAGTGAGATTTTAGTTCAATTTAAGCTAAAATTTATAAAAAGATAAAATAAATTAAAATAGTTAATAAGATAAAATGTCACATTAAATTTATAATTATTTTACTTTTTCTCTCACAAACATTACATTCAACTTAAAAAAAATTCAATTATTTTCCCAACACAAAAATTTTAACCTAATAAAATAATCAATAAAAAACTAAAATAGTCTACTATGATAACAACTTTCCAAACACCCATATTATACCTTTTCCACCTTCCATGGAAAACACTCAAGAAAAGCAAAATAACCCATTTATCAAAAACAAAGAAGAAGAAGATGATCATTAACAAGACAATTGCCATAACAATTTGTTTGCATTGCTTCCCAAAGAGAAGGTTTGGTTAAGTCTACATGATCTCTATCTTTACTAAGGCTTTTGGGGGCACTACACTAACTATTCAAGGAGTAATGTCAATCCAACAACACGTCAAAGCTCAAGACACCGATCTCATACTCACTATGCCCAAATCCGGCACCACTTGGTTAAAAGCCTTGACTTTCACCATCACCAATCATCATTACTACCCTGACACGCTTTTCCGACACACTTGTCCAACACCCTTTGCTCATGACCAATCCTCACGGTCTCATCCCTTTTCTCGAGGTCATGCTTTGCAATAATAAAAGGGAATAACTTCTCTCTAGTTCGATCACGAACTGGAGGGTACTATTGGGCCCATGGGAGCCCACCATAGGTCCTGTTTTGATAATACAAACCGTTCAATGTGTATCATCGAGCACTATATGCTTGTAAAAAATTACGTTGATCGGATATCGATAGCTATGTGATCAAATCAGATTTTTGTAAGCTGTTTATTTTTCACCGTCTATTTTTTTCATACAAAACTGATTTGATCACACCAATTTTCATTCTATGAGAATTTCCTTTTCATCTCAATGTATTATTCATTTACTATTAATAAAAAAAAATTCGCCAATAAAAAAAAACAAAAAAAAATCTATGAATTTTTTTTTCACCTATATCCCCTACCATTCATTGCCCGACTCAATTAAGAACTCTAGTTGTCGCATTGTCTATCTCTCTTACAATACTTACGACACTTTTGTCTCCGCTTGGCAATTTTTCACTAAGCTCACACCCGAGAGCCTCAAGCCAGCCTCTATCGTGCTATGATGTTTTTGACATGTAGTATAGGGGTGTTGTTGGTTTTGAGCCCTTCTGGGACAATGTGTTGGGGTATTGGAAGGAGAGCTTGGAGAGGCCTCACAAGGTGTTACTTTTGATGTACGAGGACTTGAAAGAAGATATTATCCTTCAGATGAAGGGAGTAGTGGAGTTTATTGGAGTTCTATTTTCTTTTGAGGAAGAGAAAAAAAGTGTGATAGAAGAAATATTGAGATTGTGCAGATTTCACAATCTAAGAGAATTCGAGGTGAACAAAACTGGTTCTGTTCTATACTTTGAGAATAAGACGTATTTCAGGAAAGGTGAAGTGGGTGATTGGGTCAACTATTTGACTAGGGCTTAACAAGGAATTTGTATAATTCGTAAATCGAATTGGTCTAGTCTAATCTAGTAGGTTTGGTTTGGTTTTTTTTAATCTGGTTCAGTTCTGGATTGGAAAATTGGGAAATTGTAGTTCACTAACTGGTTGTGGTTTTCAGCTCACGGATTGGTTCTAATTTTCAGTTCACGTTTCATATTAGAACCGATTCGAACCGTTTGTCATGTGTTCTATATTTTGGTGACTTAAAATAATTCTTTTGGTATATAAGTTTCATGATTTCAGCATCTTTTGTGTTTCTTTAGTGTTTGATTGGTAAGGTGGAGTGAAAATATTTGCTCATTTTGCTGTACTTTGGCCAATTTTCTATTTGTTTGCTTAGTGCATCACTATTCTGTTCTAGTCTTTTAGTAGGAAAATCTATAATTCAGAGTAGTTTTAACAATTCTTTTGTGTACATGTTTTTTTTTTTCCTTATTCAAAGGTTTTGTGAAACTGTGGTTTCAAACTGATCCGAACCATGTTTAAATGGTTTAGTTCGGATTGGTTCCATGATTTAAACGGATTGGTTTAGTCCCAATTTTTATGGAATCATAGACAACGGATTAGTTCTGATTTTGTCCCAAACTGAACTAATCCAGACCATACTTATCTCTATATTTGACACCTCAAATGGTGGAACGGTTAACCAAGGGCTATAGCCTAGTTGGTTCGTCACCAAGTCTCTCTCAAGGAAAAGGTCTTGGGTTCTACTCGTAGGAGTGGAATGGAAGAATAAGATTTTCTTGTAAGGTATATGTGTATGAGTTTCAACTATTCCGAAGTGCTAACTTAACAATTAATAACTGACTTTCACCGATAAAAAAGAAATGGTGGAACAGTTAAGCATGACCATTGAAGAAAACTTGGGCAATCCTGGATTAGTTTTCAAGACTGGTATGTGAAACAAATATGTGAGGACAATGAATGGACTCTTCTTGTTTTGGAAATTATTCCAAACTAGAATTTTATTTTTCTCTTCTTGTTCTTGTTCCTTTTATGTTATTAATTCTTGGTGCATCATTCTGAGTATTTTTTTTTTATTGTGGAAAAAAATATTAATAACTGTAAAGTTTATGGAAATAATAACGATTAGAGAAAAGATTATCTGTTGGCCTTTTGGCTTTCGAGGGTTAATAGTGTAATTTAAGCATGCCAGCAAGAATCAATTAGTCCTTACAGAATTTTAATCGCCAATCAATTATCAGACAATTGTGTTGAAGTTCTTTCAATTTCAATGAAGAGGATTTTTACTTGTGGCTTATTTTAGGAAAAATTTATAAGAAATAACAAGTACAATTCAGAAACTGAATTTCATTAAGTAAATAGGAACTTAAAATTAAATGACCCAGCCTTGAAAAGGTTTATAGCAATGACTACTTAAAACTATTCCTAGGAAATGAGGTGTAGTATAGGAATTGAAGTGCGGAAATGTAAAGAACTGGAAATAAATATAAAGTAAATAAACTGGTTTTTGGATATGAGTCTAGGTCCTTTATTTTGGGACATTCTTCTCTATTTATACTTTCCAATAGTAACCATTGAAGTGGCTTCCAACCGTCGAAATGCACTTCCACGATCTTTGGTTATGGCCCTGACCAATCAGTTCCCACGACACCTTCTTTGCAGTTGAGCTTCCCTCTTTAATTTGAATTTGAATTGTGAGTAACCGTTGAGCTACGCCACTTTGTGCCTTTTAACTGCTTCCATGCGACGAAGACCAACAATTACCAATATGAATTGCCACGTGTCTGTCATTGGTTGGAGACTTGCATTAACTCCCTAAATTACCCTTTTCGAGCCACGTGTTAAGCTGCGATTGGCCTATACAAAATATGTAGCCAACATTACCCCCCGCACTAATATACCCAATACTTGGTGATATTAGTGGATCAATGCACTCTATCCACGTCCTAAGACGTACATGGATTTGGCTGAAACATAACCATCTTCTTAAAAATGAAGCATTGAACTTCATTAAATTCTTCTATTCCATCCATTATCTGTGAATACAAAGAGACAGATACACCTTCAATAGCCAATGTCTTCTCTTACATTGAAGGAGCGTACGAGGAGGTGTTTGATAATGACAACCGTCCTCGAAAGAACCTTCATGCATTTATTGGCTATACTTATCTGCCCCCATTTATACAAGTTATGGAAACTTTTGCACCATATGAACCTTTGGGCCAAATATTTGCACAAATGGATATTGAAAGCTCTTCATCTGCTCCAAAACACTCTATATGAGATGAAGCTACTTCATCGTCTTCTAGAAATACTGGTTGGGATGCTTGGCCTATACCCACTCTACCTCAAACAAGGGAACGAATCCACCATTGATTTCCCGAATTTGATGATTTCACTACAATTCATCCCTCCATGCGTAGTTCTGTAATATATCCACACGTCCTCTTTGACCGTCTTTACAGCCTTGAAGACAACTTGCTTTTGGCATGGTATACTTCCACCTTGCCATCCAAAATAGTGTGAAGGACTCCACACCCTGTTGAAGCCTTGGGAATCAGTCCTGCACCCCAGTCAAAAAAGTAAAACTTTGCTCCTCTAATTGGTTAGAATGTGTGAACAGGCTTGAGTTCCCACATTTATTTAGAGGGGACCTAACTACTCCTTTCCTGCCCTCCAATCTTAATAGGATTGAAAAACTGAAACTCACCCTCTTCCGGAGCCAGCATTTTGCTCCCTACCAGGCTCCAATTCCACCTACTGCTTACCAACAGTATAGAGTCCAGACTCTGGTTGCCGTTTACTTCCATTTATCCTTTGAGGTCCTTTGAAATGACATTCCTCACAAAACCTTATTATGGTGCTGTGATATTATCTCTCGAAGCCACATCCTCAATTCTAAGGCCCACACAGAGCTTCATACTTTCTTGGATCAATTTCCTCTTCTACTCAACTGGCACACAAATGCTTCTATTACCAGTGAGTTGTTGGGGAACACCTATGCTGCTCGTATTCAAATTCAGTATGAAGCAGAGAATCTTCTTGAAGAATATGAAGACTTTAAGAACCAAGATTCAGAGTATGGAGAAGATACCACTATGGGCGATGCACCTGGGAAATGAGAAATGGACGAAACAGAGAAGGCTCTTAAACAAACAGAATTTGAAATGAAGGCCCAACAACTCTTCTTCCAACTAAGGGCTCATCAGATAGATAATTTAAATTTAGATAGGATATGTAGACACTCTATTTATGACAGCCCTTACGACTTGGACGTCATCACATGCACACCCAATGATGAGTCTATATGCTTGTCAAGTGCTTGAAGTCCTCAGCAGAATGCCACAACTTTGAGTCCTTTTAACCTTACATACCTGTTGCCTCATTTTTGGACCAAACCCAGAGATCTTCAAGCCTACAACTTCTGGTGGCCTGCTGGCCACCTCTTTGGCCTGCCGACCATCACTCTTGGTTGCTGGCCATTGATGTGGCCTACCAGCTACGAGTGATGGCTGGCCGACCACCAATGTCTGTTGCAGATATTTTGTGACAGTTGTGCCAATTGTTTGGACAGATGCTTGCATCTGCTTCCACATGTATGGCTGGATGTTCTTGAGAGAAATTCATGTTTTCTATATACAGAGGGCCTCCCTCTCATGTTTTAAGGTTAGAAAAATTTTGGAGCAAAATTTTTCCTCTCTCTCTATAATTCTCTCTTTCTCTTCCAAATTTCTGCACTCTTGCCTACATATCCTTAACCTTTGCCTATACACTCTTAACAAAACCTCTCCATATTTGAGCTGAGGTGCCTTTGAGCTTTGTTGGAGCTCTTGAGGGTGTGTTTGCTTGGTTTTATTGCTTTTAATTTATTTTCTCTTCAAAAGGTATAGAGCTTTGCCTCTTCACTTACTTTAACTACTCTTTTTCTTGCAATTTTCCAACTATTTTTGGGCTGTAAAAACTCTATATTTTTGGGCTGAAACTTGGGTTTTAAGGCTAATAAAGGTTGAGGGGTGGTCCACCCTTCTTCACACCTTGCTTTCAAGGCCTTTACCCTTATGTTTCCCTTGTCTTCACTATCATTTTTGAGCTTTTAAATATTGATTTTCAAAGTTATTTAAGTGGCCAAAATCATGTTTTGAAGTCCAAATTTGAAGGGGTTAGCCTCCCCTCCTTGTGTCTTGCTTACTAGCCTAGCTTGTGCTATGTTTTACCTTATGAATCTAGCTTTTTTTAGCTTAATTTCAGCATGTTTTAGGACTATTTTTAGACTGTTTTAGCATTTTTTTTGGTTGATAGCTGCATTTGGGCTTTTTTTTTTTATGCTTGTAGTATAATTGTCCTCATGAGTTTGGTGTTCTAGGCCTTAGACACCATTTTATTTGAGTTGATTGCATTTATTTATGGCTTTCCATACTTGTGATCACTCTTAATCACCTCTGCAACCTCCCTCATTTCTTGGCTTTTTGTTTTGCTTTGAAAGTGGCTCAAACTACTTGTTTGTTTAAGCATGAGATTGAGATGTCATGCTTAATAGTTTAATCCCTTAGGTGGTTCATTGCCAATGGTATGATGCTTCTTTCATGCCTAAGACAACACTTGGTTTAAGCCCTTTTTCCATTAGAGGACTTAAACTCATCATTGGACTCAATGGATTAAAAGATGGTTGGTAATTTAAAATGAAGTAATTAAAATGGGACTAAAATGATGCAAGATAAGAATTTGGTTTTATGTTCAATCGGACGTTAATTGAACACATGGAAGCTTGAGGCATTTCATACTCATTAGTGATGAAATGATTCAAGTTTCCAAGGTCACCACTTCCCTTGATCAATTCATGAAAGGGAGGAGGCTAGAGTCTTATTTTGTTGCATTTATTGAACTTGCACACTTTGGTTCATAAGCCTTCATGCAATGAAATTGCTTGAGTTGATGGCTTGTGGACCAAGTTTTGTCCCTTCTTTGATCTGTTCATGATAAGGAGGGGGTGAATTGTGCAAACAAACCTTGAGAATACCCTGTGCATGCTTTGTTTGTTTTCTATTACAGCAAGATAAACTATGTAGCAGTGGCCGGCATGCCACTTTCTATGGCTGGCAAGCCACCTTTGGTGGCCGGCAGGCCATCACTCCTGGTCGGCTGGCCACCAATGCAAAATCTAGCAGTGTGTTTTTTGAGCAGAGTAGAGACATTCTGGAAGTGGACAAAGGTGTAAGTGTTTTACTATGCAACAAAGGCATTTTGGAAGCAAAATAGTGGCCTCTTCGAGTGAAAATCGAGCACGTGCATGAGCAAAACACACTCTGACCACACCAAAACACGAGATGAGGAAAGAAAACACCACTCAAGGTCGCACTTCACGCGTCTTGAGAAACTGAGAACAAAAATTGCTTGGGGTCACGTTTCACACATCCCGAGATAAAAATCGCTCAAGATCACGCTTCACGCATCCTGAGAAACAGAGAAAAGTCATTCTGGCTCGCGCTTCACGTATCTCGAGAAATAAGAAAAAAATTGCTCAGGCTCACACTTCACGTTTTTCGAGATAAAAGAGAACCTGCTCAAGCTCACATTTTACGCATCTCGAGAAACAAGAGAACCTGCTCGGGCTCACGCTTCATGCGTCCTGAGATGAAACACACTTGGAGCCGCGCGTCACACGTCCTGAAATACTCTAATAAACCGTGAGAAGAGAAGAAAAATTGGTCAGGCTCACGCTTCACGTGTCCCGAGATAAAACACACCCAAAGGTGATATACTCTAATCACGTTGAATTCGTGAGAAGAGGAGAAAAATCACTCGGGCTCGCGCTTCACGCGTCCCGAGATAAAACACGCCCAGAGCCGTGTGTCACGCATCCTGAGATACAAGAAAATCGCTAGAGCTCGCACTTCATGCGTCCCGAGATAAAATAGAAAAGTGCGCGATAGATGCACAAAATGAACATGTGTGATAGATGCACAAAGTGAATAAGGATTACAAATTAATATAGTGACAACGCATGTTCCATGCAAGATAGACAACTGACGTATGATGTTAATTAAAAGCATGTTCTATGCAAGAAACAAAAAGCATATTCTCTGCAAAATTGACAGCATGTTCTATGCATGAATCATAAATGATGCAAGACATGCATGCAACATACGTATATGTGAAATGCATATTCTATGCAACGGAAAGGAACAAAAGCGTAAAATGAATAAAACAATACTTGGTGGCACCTCTGATTTACCTCTCGGAGAAATTGTAACATGTTCAAAGGATACACCTCATTTATATTGACAAATGATGAACATCGTGCGCCAAATCACAATTTTGAGCTCCCTTAGAAACATTCTGACCCCAATTGCGAACCTTTCCTATACTTCTTGGGAACAAAGACACAAAACAATATCAGAACACAAAGGAGGGCCGCCGGCCACTCGCCGGCCACAAGGGGAGAGTGCTGGCCACCTGCCAGCCATCAAAAAGCCTTGCCAGGCACCAATGTGGATTGCTGGCCACCGATGGCAGATCGGGACTTTTTGGTCCTTTTGCTCACGGGTTTTTAAATACAAGCCTTAAGGCTTCATTTCCTTACAACCTTAGGTCTGAAAATCTTCTCTCTTTCTCTCTCTCTAGACACTTTCCCTCTCTAGATTTGAGCTTTACATGCATTTTCCAACGCTCCACACACACTTTATTTGTAAAACCCTCTTGATTCTTAACATTTTGAACCGATCAAAGTTTGTTTTCGACGTTTTTTTCCTCATTTTCACCCCTCTGGGCTTGTTCTCCTCGAGTTTCTCTTCGGTTTCGTGAACTTTTCCGAGCCTTGACTTTTTCTCCCATTTTCTCTTTCTTAGGGTTGACTTTTTCCAAGTTTACCCTTTTTTTTTTTTTTTTTTCATTTTTCTTTATTTTCACCCACTTTTTACCCATTTTCCAGGTGGCTGATGAGATTCCACACGACGGGGCTTCTCCAGAGGTTCCGCCTACATTCCCACACATTCCTGAGGTAGAGGAGCGGGTAGTTGCCGAGGCTGGCGAGGCGGCTTAGGGCATTGAGGCCGACCTTAAGGTGGAGTTTGAGCTAACGCCGCTACCATTGAGAGTACGGCCTTTTGATTCGGTGAGATATCATCCCTGCACGTACATATTGCCACCCGAAGGCATCAGGCGCTTCAGCAACTTTACTTGTTGTGTACTAGAGGACCTCCTGTTAAGGGAGCCGGCCTCCCACCTTTCATCGAGGGTTACTGAGGTATGAACTTTGTTTTCATGCATTCTCTCATTTCCTTTTCATGACATTTCTTACATTGCCTTTAATCTAATTATACTTTTTCATCACTGCTTGATTTGATTCATCTGTTCTTTGCCACCAAGAGAGTCTCATGCTTACAGGGGGTACGGAGCCACGATAATAAGAGATTGGTATGATGAGCTCCCTACTGGAGTCCGTGACATTGTTAATAAGACCAACTTCGGCCTTTTCTGTTCCAGCTTGACACAGGTCATTGCGAGCCGCCCTCTTCTAGGAGCGTTAGTAGAGAGGTGGTGGGACACCACCAACTCCTTTCACTTCTCTACTGTCGAGGAGATGACGATGACTCCCTACGACTTCGCCATGATCACAGGCTTAGGAGTAAGGGGTGGTCCGATCCCTTTTGACACTGATATGGGGGAGTGAGAGGCTGTGTGGATCGAGCTGTTAGGAGTACGCCCACCCTTATACCGGCCAGTTATGGTCAGATATAGTTGCTTCGCTGAGCAATTTCGAGAGAGCGAGCCTGAGACATTAGAGGAGATGAAACAGTATACCAGAGGCTTCTTGATGTTTGTCCTCAGTACCACCTTGTTTTTGAACAGATGAAACACTGCAGGCCTATATCTGTTGAGCACCCTGGTGACCCTTTCCTAGGTACGCTTCTACGACTGGGGTAGAGCCAGCCTCGCCACCCTATACAGCTATATGAGCTCTACCTCCCGCCTGAAGGGAGAACTGATCGTAGGCTACTAGCAAGCCTAGGAGGTATGTATTTCAGTTATCTCTTTGCACTTTACGCTTTTTGCTTTACATTTTTTGCTTTATATCTGTTCAACACATGTGTTTTTTGCTTCGCACTTTCTGCATCTGTTCATA